CCGCTACTCGCCCACGCGTGGAATCTTTCGCCGAGGCCGAGCGAGTCGACGCGAGGACCAGTGGGACCAACTCGCGCGAGCGCCAGCTGGTCCCACTGGTACCGACTGGCACGGGACGTCGGCCATTCTTCCCACGATTGTCTCGACTCACGGCCTCCTTTCTCGGCGAGAGAGGGAGAACACTTCTGAATTGTGCTTCGAAGGATCTTCGGATGCACATGAATATTCCTTGAGGATCTAACAGAGCCATCTTGACGGTAATCGAACCAGGATCGCGTCGATCGTCTTCCCATCGATCCTTCATTCCTCTTTCTCACATAAACGCTTACGAGTACTCGCTTCTAAATCACGCTTCGAAGGATCCTGGGATGCACATCAAGATCCTTTGAAGGTGTAATAGAGCTATCTCGAAAATGATCGAACTAGGATCACGTCGATTATCTCCCAATCGATCTTTCATTCCTCATCCTGGCATAAACGCTTACCAGTACTCGCTTCTAAATCACGCTTCGAAGGATCCTGGGATGCACATGAAGATCCTTCAAGGGTGTAATAGAGCTATCTCGAGGATGATCGAATTGCAATCGGTCTTCCATTCCTCTTTCTCACATAAACGCTTACGAGTACTCGCTTCTAAATCACGCTTCGAAGGATCTTCGGATGCACATGAAGATCTTTCGAAGGTGTAATAGAGCTATCTGTAGGATGATCGAACCAGGATCACGTCGATTGTCTTGTAATCGATCTTTCATTCCTCATCCTGGCATAAACGCTTACGAGTATTCGCTTCTAAATCACGCTTCGAAGGATCCTCGGATGCACATGAAGATCTTTTAAGCGTGTAATACAGCTATCTCGAGAAGGATCGAACTAGGATCACGTCGATTGTCTTGATATGGATCTTTCATTCCTTATCCTGGCATAAACGCTTACGAGTACTCGCTTCTAAGTCACGCTTCGAAGGATCTTCGGATGCACATGAAGATCCTTTGAAGGTGTAATAGAGCTATCTTGAGGATGATCGAACCAGGATCACGTCGATTATCTCCCAATCGATCTTTCATTCCTCATCCTGGCATAAACGCTTACCAGTACTCGCTTCTAAATCACGCTTCGAAGGATCCTCGGATGCACACGAAGATCCTTTGAGGATTCAACAGATCCATCTCAAGGATGATCGAACCAGGGTCGCGTCGATCAAACTTCAATCGATCTTCCATTCCTCATTCTCGCATAAACGCTTACGAGTGTTCGCTTCTAAATTAAGCTTCCAAGGATCCTCGGATGCACATAAAGATCATTCGAGGATCCAACTGTCGATCAAGTTCCTCGACCTGTTTCACTTTACCTTAAATCGAGGTCTTGTGTAGAATTCTCCTCGGCTAAATTTACCCAGATTTATCGCAGTCGTTTCACTTGTCTTCGTCCTTTGTCGTCCGCGTCGTCGCGTGTCGAAGACTCGGCCGGAGAAATTATGCCGCGGTTCCCCCGCGCGCGGACGAGCCGCGCGTAACCGGGACCGATTACGCTGCCGAGCCGGAACCGGCCGCGGGAACGCGGCACCGCGCGGTACCGCTCGGCGCCGTTCGGGACTGTTCGGCACCGCTCGGCATCGTTCGGCACCGCTTGGCATCGCTTGGCATCGCTTGGCACCGCTCGGCATCGTTCGGCATCGTTCGGCATCGTTCGGCATCGTTCGGCACCGTTCGGCACCGTTCGGCACCGTAGGCACTACTCGGCACCGCTTGGCATCGCTCGGCACCGCTCGGCATCGTTCGGCATCGTTCGGCACCGTGGGCACCACTCGGCACCGTTCGGAACCACTCGGCATCGCTCGGCACGATTCGGCGCGAGAATGCCGCCCGGCCTCCCCCGGGCCTCCCACGTTCTCCTTTTCCTGGCACGAAGTCGAGCTCGTGTGCGTGCACGCATTCCTCCACCCGCGTTTCTCCTCAGGGTCTGGATCGACACTAAGAGACCAGTTTCTCGTCGTGCCAGGAACCTGTAAAAGACACCTGGGTTATAGGTCGAGTTTGGATACCGAGGGAAACGCGAAAGTGGAGGAAAAATTTCCCCTCTGACTAATTCAACGCGGCTCGGGCATTTTTACGATCTACTCAGACAGGACTGGGCGATGACGCGCCATTCCAAATTCTTTTTTTACTTAAAATACGTAAGGAAAGTATTTCACGTGAAACCCAAGTAAAATACCTGATAAATTCCACGACGAAGATGGCGGTACTGTAACCTCACTTTTTCAAAGCGGTCAAAGTTTACGTCACTTGTGAATAAACATTTTAGTCAGGACAAAGGAAGGAATAAAGAATAGTGGCAAGTAGGAGCGAACGTTAAAAAGATCTCGGCTTCACATTCCAGTTTTCCATACTTGTGAATAAATATTTTAGACGGAACAAAGAAAGGAATAAAGAATAGTGACAAGCAGAAGCAAACGTTAATAAGATCTCGGCTTCACATTCCAGTTTTCCATACATTCCATGGATCATTTTGAATTCTAACCGTATCAGGAATAGGAACTGCAGAAATGTAACCCACTGAACACTGTTATATTAGGGCGATGGTAATACGAGGTGTAAAAATTTAGTTGAGACGGAAATCACAGATGGCGCAGGGGGTCCCTCTGCAGTCAATTAGGGCCCCAGAAAGCACGAATCCAGAGGATTTCTGGAGTTTTACTTCGACTTCTCGATACTTATTGTACGAAAACGACAGGTGGAGTATGCCATTTGGTACAATACCCAATATAATTCGATAAACTCGCATTTAAACGAGAGAAAGGTAAAAAAAGTGTCTTATCCGGTGCTATCCTAAAACGATGGTGATACGGGGTGTAAAAATTTAGTTGAGACGGAAATCACAGATGGCGCAGGAGGTCCCTCTGCAGTCAATTAGGGCCCCAGAAGGCACGAATCCATAAGATTTCTGGAGTTTTACTTCGATTACTTTATAATCATTGTACAAAGACGACAGATGGAGTTCGCCATTTAGTACAATACCCAATATAATTCTACCCAGCTGTGAATATAAAAACAAACGTCGGCAACGTAGGCATTTAGAAAAATCTTTATCGACGTCGATCAAATTCCTCGACGCGTTTCACTTCACCTTAATGCTAGTACATGTCATGGATAAAGTACAAACATGTCTGAACCGGCCTTTAAATCCCCCTGTCGAGGCGGCCCTGGTGGGGCGACCTCCGCGACCTGGCGGAGGGAGACGGAGAGAGGGAGGAGTGCACCTGTGCCGGCTACGTGTAGGAGTGAGCGAGAGAGAGAGAGACCGATGCACCTGTGCTCCCTGTTAGCCGAGAGAGAAGGAGAGACGGCGGAATGCCCTCTCGCTCGGCTGACACGGCGAAGCATCCGCGAGACGGTATTCGATATTCGACTTTTATCGCGGGCCAATCTGACGTCGCACGTGCCGCATCAGGAATCGGCGAATCGGCCGAAGTGCGGGGCAAAAAGGGGTTTCGCTCGAGAGGACGACGAGGAAGACAAAACCGAGCACGGCTCGAGCCGCGAATTGCATTTCTCCGTCTCCCTTCGAGCGCTCCTTCCTCTCCCTCTTTCTCTCCTTTCGCTTTTCGTCACTTTCGAACTGCCGATCGAACTTGCCGAGCTGACTCGAGATTTCTCCTTACAGATTGAGTCGGAAGAGGAAGTCGAGGAGGACCGGGTCGGCGCAACTGCGGGGAGTCCTGGAAGCATCGCCCGGAAGAGGCCTCGACCTCTCGCGACGAACTCCTGGAGGGAAAAGTAAGAGCCCAGGGCCGAATCTGTGAGATTAGACGAGGGGCTACTCGCCGAGATCATTATTTCTTTTAAGATGAACTGAAACACATCGACGTAGGTAAAAAAGATTTTCCTAAATACCTACGCTGCCGACGTTCGTTTTTATATTGACAACTCGGTCGAATTATATTGGGTATTGTACTAAATGGCATACTCCATTTGACGTTTCCGTACAATAACTGTAAAGAAATCGAAGTAAAACTCCAGAAATTCTCTTGATTCATAGTTTCCAAGGCCCTAAATGACTGCAGAGGGACCCCCTGCGCCATCTGTGATTTCCGTCTCAACTCAATTTGTACACCTCATATTACCATCGTTTCAGAATAGCAGCGGATAAGACACTTTTTTCACCTTTATCTCGTTCAAATGCGAGTTTATCGAATTATATTGGGTATTGTACTAAATGGCATACTCCATCTGACGTTTTCGTACAATAATTTGTAAAGAAATCGAAGTAAAACTCCAGAAATCCTCTTGATTCATAATTTCCAAGGCCCTAAATGACTGCAGAGGGTCCCCCTGCGCCATCTGTGATTTCCGTCTCAACTCAATTTTTACACCTCGTATTACCATCGTTTCAGAATAGCAGCGGATAAGACACTTTTTTCACCTTTATCTCGTTCAAATGCGAGTTTATCGAATTATATTGGGTATTGTACTAAATGGCATACTCCATTTGACGTTTTGGTACAATACTTGTAAAGAAATCGAAGTAAAACTCCAGAAATTCTCTTGATTCATAATTTCCAAGGCCCTAAATAACTGCAGAGGGACCCTCTGCGCCCTACTACTTTCACCAAAGATTGAAAGTGAATCCTGGCTTGTCTCGTGGTTAACGCGGGTTTTTAGAGCAAAAGTTTAGTAGCAGCTAAACGTCACAGATGGCGACGCTGGTCCTAAACAGTCGTTAGAATAATGAATTCCCGGGATTTCGACAGTTTTACCTCGATATCTTCATCATTACTTTACCGAAATGACATATAGAACTCTTCAGTTCATATACTTCTCAACGTAGACTGTAAAAGACTTCACGGTGAATATAAATGTCGGTAACGTGACGCGCCAGCTTGTGTTATCACTTGAGTACTCTAAATGGCGTTACCACCAAAAAGGGTACAGATGAATTTTAATTAATCGACCTCGATTAATTATCTCAGCGCCTTTCGTATCATCTTAATCTTCCTGTTCCAGGTTTCCAAGATACTCGTCCAGGAACCTTCCGTGGACTTCCTGAACTCCCGACCGGGGCTTCTTCAGGTTCTCCCGCATATCCTGGAATCGAGTTTACAGGATGAGACAGGGAGAGCAGCCGCACCCTCCTCGACGTCCTCGCGAGCTCGTCGACCGGGAGCCGACCTCGATGAGCTCGACGACCTCGATGGACCCTGACGTAGCCAGCGAATCTGCTAGTGGTAGCAACGGATATGCCTACAGACCCTTGACGACGAGGCATCGTCGAGCCGGCAGCACCGGGACCACCGGCGACGAGGAGTACACCAGCGACGAAGAGGAGCTCTACGGCGACGAGGCCGAGTCGGCGGGGTGTCCGTCTCTGCATGCCTCTCAGCCCGTGGGTGGCATCCTCAGGTCCGACCTCGCTAGGGCGGCCACCGACCTCTTCGGCTACGCCGAGAAAGAGGAGCACACCGGCCTCTTCGACGAGGAGGACTCCGAATTCAACGCTTCGCCCCGGCCGAGGTGCTTGCTTGGCTTCGTTTCGTTCACCGGGAAATCCTAAAATCGACTTAGAATTAATATCCACGTGCACGGCACCCTGGAGAGTGCAAAGGCTTTTACAGGTACCTCGCGTAACAGGGGCAGCTTAGGCTTAAGGTGAAATGAAACGCGTCGAGGAACTTGATCGACGTTGGTAAAACAGGTCTTTCTAAATACCTACGTAGCCGACGTTCGTATTTATATTGATAGCTGTATCGAATTATATTGGGCATTGTACCAAATGGCATACTCCACCTGTCGTTTTCGTGTAATAGTTATAAAGAAATCGAAGTGAAACTCCAGAAATCCTCTGGATTCATGCTTTCTGGGGCCCTAATTGACTGCAGAGGGACACCCTGCGCCATCTGTGATTTCCAGGTCAATTAAATTTTCACTCGGAGACCTCGTATTACCATCGTTTTAGTATAGAAGGGCATATAACACTTTTTTTGCTTTTATCCCGTTCAAATGCGAGTTTATAGATTACCAGAGTGTTATAAATTGTCATAAAATTGTCCTGACCCTTTCGTTTCTCATATCAGGGCCTTCGATAATTGTATATTGATCGAAATATCAGATTTAATACGTGAATATGAAGACCCTAAGGTAGGTCCTGAAACTCGCGAAATTTCATTTTTCTATAAACTATTTTTAAAATACCTATAAACAAATTAGAAAAGAATTGAAATTTCATGAGTTTCAGGACCTTCCTTGTAGTCTCCCCATTCACGTTGTAAAGTTTCAAACTGTTCAGTAAATCGAGGTGGGAGAAAAGTTTTACAATCAAAACCTCTTCGGTGCCACTTTCACATCACCTTAAGGTGAAGTGAAACCCCCTTCTTATCAGTCGTTTCGAATACAACACTTTTTTTTAAGGGTATTAGACCAAACAGTCCGAAACTTTGACACGTCACTCCTGATCATCTAAGAATTGTCCTGACCCATTCAAAATTTGAATTTTCAAAAAAAATGTTTAATTCAGCCCATACCAGAACCAAAATGGCGTCGAGCTCTCATATTTCGATCGATATACCAATTATCGAAGACTCTGATATGAGAATCGAAAGGGTCAGGACAATTTTCCGACAATTTATAACCCTCTGGTAGTCGACAAACTCGCATTTGAACGGGATAAAGGCAAAAAAAAGTGTTGTATGCGCTTCTATGCTAAAACGATGGTAATACGAGGTCTCGGAGTGAAAATTTTATTGACCTGGAAATCACAGATGGCGCAGGGGGTCCCTCCGCAGTCAATTAGGGCCCTAGAAAGCATGAATCCAGAGGATTTCTGGAGTTTTACCTCGATTTCTTTACAATTATTGTATGAAAACGACAGGTAGAGTATGCCATTTGGTACGATACCCAATATAATTCGACCCAGCTGTCGATATAAAAACGAACGTCGGCAACGTAGGCATTTAGAAAAATCATCTTTATCGACGTCGATCAACTTCCTCGACGTGTTTCACTTCACCTTAAACCGACTTCATTCTACGTAGGGTATGCGAGTCCCTCCGAGCAGCCTTCCGTCTGCGCGGGAGGGCGTCGGAAGGTTTGGCGAGGACGTTCCCCGCCTGTGGGAACGATTTGGCCAGGGCAAGCGTGTCGGATAATAAGCAGCGAGTTAGCCATCGAGGTTGGAGGAAATAGAATCGCTATTAATATCCGTAAAGAGTTTTCTGCGCGTATAGGAGGGCGCGACTTGGCGTAGCTTCTGCCTTTCTCAGACTCGCGTCCGCGAGACTGCTTCTATCATTTTTCTAGCCTCCACCTCGGCGTCTTCTCGATATTCCCGGTCACGTATTCCTGATAAGATTCCGCTTCTAACGTCCCCGGTGATCCACAGCAGGCCAGCGAGCAAGCCGTCTCTTCTGGGCCAGCCAGGATCGACTCGTGGGGTCGGTCGGCTCTTCAACGGGGTCGTCAGGATCTCCAAGGAGTCCAAGGTGGACCCTGAGAAGCCCGAGGTGGCGGTCGCCGAGAGGAAGAGGTCCTGCAGCCCGGAATGCTCCGAGAGGAAGGAGCCCTCCACTCATCCGGACCCCGACGAAGAGGTGCTCCAACCTGAAGGACCCTCTGCCGCTTCCGAGACCCTTCAATCCACCGGCAGGAATCACGTCGACCTGGATGTACATCCTCCTGGGAAAGGAGACGAACCCGGAGGCCCTGCTCCTGGAGTCAGGGAGGAGAAACGCGCCAGGTCATCCTCGCCGACTGCTTTGCAAAGGGAGAGGGCCTTGTCCGAGGTCAGGGAACATGCGGTGGCCAAACTGCAGGATGAGGTCCGTCGTGTTCGGGAGGAGCTCAGGATCAAGGACGAGGAAGTCACTCGACTCACGAGGATCAGACAGGACGTCGAGGCTGAGCTGGAGGACCTCACCGCCAGCCTCTTTCAGGTGCGCTAAGAGCCTCCTTCTGCGCTACTAAGTGTCCCGGTTAATATAGATGCATCCCCCTAGATGCATCTTAAAACATCGGTTATCATCTACGAGGATGTCTGACTGATATGATTGAAAAATTCTTATTACTTCGGTCTGATTGTATGGTCATCTTAAGGTGAAGTGTGAAACACGTCGAGGAAGTTGATCGACGTCGATGAAGATTTTTCTAAATGCCTACGTTGCCGACGTTCGTTTTTATATCGACAGCTGGGTCGAATTATATTGGGTATCGTACCAAATGGCATACTCCACCTGTCGTTTTTGTACAATAATTATAAAGAAATCGAAGTAAAACTCCAGAAATCCTCTGGATTCATGCTTTCTAGGGCCCGAATTGACTGCGGAGGGACCCCCTGCGCCATCTGTGATTTCCAGGTCAATTAAATTTTCACTCCGAGACCTCGTATTACCATCGTTTTAGCATAGAAGCGCATACAACACTTTTTTTGCCTTTATCTCGTTCAAATGCGAGTTTATCAACTACCAGAGTGTTATAAATCGTCATAAAATTGTCCTGACCCTTTCGATTCTCATATCAGAGCCTTCGATAATTGTATATCGATCAAAATATGAGAGCTCGACGCCATTTTGGTTCTGGTATGGGCTGAATAAAAAAATTAAAAAAAAATTCCAAGTTTTGAATGCGTCAGGACAATTCTTAGATGATCAGGAGTGATGTGTCAAAGTTTCGGACAGATTGGTCTAATACCCTTAAAAGAAATTGTTGTATTCGAATCGACTGATATGAAGGGGGTTTCACTTCACCTTAAAACATCGATTATCATCTACGAGGATGTCTGACTGATATGATTGAAAAATTCTTATTACTTCGGTCTGCTTGTATGGTCGTCATTGGTACGTTTAGCGCTAATTGGACCCTTGTTTTAGCATAGATAGCAAGGGCTCTTCGTCTTATCAATATAAACTATCTCTTCAGGAAGCCCACAACATGGTGCGGGAGGCGAACGTGCGCCAAGCGACAGCGGAGCGCCTCTTCGAGGAGAGTCGCATGAAGGCGGAGGTCCTGGCCGCCGAAGTGGCCGCCCTGAAGACGCTGGTCCTCACGTCGACCCCGGCGAGGCCCAACAAGCATCTGCACCCTCAGATCGACGCCCGGGGAAGAACGGCGCCCGTCACGCCAGTCACCGCGACGCCGATCACCACGGCCACGACGACAACCGCGATCACCACGTCGGCGACCGCGACGTCGCCCGCAAACTCCGAAGACACGCAACCGGGCCTCTTCGCCCTGAGGAGGCATCGCAGGTAAAAAGTAACCGTACCATATAAGTATCGATACGTGGTCTTAATACAAGGAACATGTCAAGTATCGATACTCGATCTCAATACAAGTAACATGTCAAGTATCGATACCTGGTCTTAATACAAGGCACATGTCAAGTATCGATACTTTGACATGTTAATAAAATATACTTGTTCTACTGTATAACAAAGGAAAAATAAGTACCATTCAAACATGTTTGTTTTCAATCAAGCAAATCGTTTTCTCAGTGTAAGTAACAAGTCAGTATCGAAACTTGGTCTGGAGTCAATACTAGTTACATGTCAAGTATCGATACTTTGATATAAGGGTGATCGATATTAACATAACATGTAACATACTACCGAACTATTATATATACGTTACATTATTCGTTTTATAACCGTGTTATATAGCTGCGGAGGAAATAGTAATACAAATCTTACTTATACATTATATGTATATTACATTACATGTTACAAACGTTATGTAACGGTTATGTTATTGTAATGTAACCGTGTTTGGTGGGTAATAATTAATATATAATTTATTTCTAACCGTAGATCGCCATCGCACTTCAACCTGAAGTACGGCCGCGAGAACTCGCCCCCGGACTCGCCATCCGGGAAGGAGCAACGCCTCTCCGGACCCGAGAGAGAGGTTCTCGTCGACGGGACCTGGTGCATGGACCGCGTCGACGGAGGCCGGGGTGACCGGGACGAGCCCGGAGGCAGATTCCCCGGGGAACGGGATGCCGATTTCGGACTCGAGGTCGACCCGAGGGTGCACGCCGAGTTCCTCAGCTGGAAGGCCAATCCGAGGCTCGACAAGGATGACCCCTTCGTCGCCAGGATCTTCCGCGAGGACATCGACCTGTGCCTCGACTTCCCGAACGTCCTCCTCGGGGCTAGGGTCAAGCAGGCCGTGCTGGACGGAATCGTCTTCATCGAGGCCGTCAGCGACAAGGCTGGACCGTCATTCCCCACGTAGGGAGTGGTTTCTTGTCATTAGATCACTACACTTATATCGTTGCATCGTTCGGTGTGTGATATGTCTCCTTCTTCCAGGACGTGTGCCCTCCTAGAGACGCCTCGTCGGTGTCGCTACCGGATGAGGCTCGGCGATCAGGAGAAACATTGGCACAGCATATCCAGGGTCTGCCGTAATAGGGTGAGTTACCTACTGAACACCAAACCTAACAGATACGTAACTTAAAACTAAGAAATAACATAACGTTTGTTACAATGTAATAATCTAACAGTTACGTAACATAGAGTTAACTAGTTAAATGACATCGGTTACAATGCAGTAACTTAACAGGTATGTAACATGGAGCTAACAGGTTACATAACATTTGTTACTATCGTATCTATATAAATGTAGCGTGACTTTGTTACTCTTATCTTACAATATATTACCGTCCTGATATTACTGTGTATATGCAGCACATATTTGTAACAAAACAGAACTACATTGGTGCTGTCATCTATTTTATTACATCATGGTCATCGTCATTGTCATAAGATTAATATATGTCATATTTTGTTTACTACTCGTATGAAAAAATATGACTTTAATTCATACGCGCATATACATTGCTAGTCGAATGAAATCCTAATTGTCTTTAAGTAAAATCAGATAGTTTATCATTCACATAATTTCATTTAAAGTCTGATCTATCATATAATATCTAACTATTGCCAAGTGCCACAAAATATTACAAAATAAAAAATTACATAATTTTTATAAAATTGCATTATTTTTGTATGAAATGTTTGAAAAATTAATATTATTTTAAGGTAACTGAACTTATAACATGTTACCTTATTCAGGGGGAAATAATAACAAACATCTAACTTCCATGTTACTTTTGTGCTACATAACACATTAGCTTCGAAAACGTAACATTTACCTAACAGTTATACAACACTGTTCAGTGGGTATCCTTTTTCGCAGGTTAACTTGATAGAATGGTTCTTTTCGTACTCCTGCATAAGTTGAAATCAATCGATAACTCAGATCATTCTCATTCCAGATCATCGCTGTCTGTGACTGCCTGAATTACCTGCGGTACATTGAACGAGGTCTGGTGAAGAGTTCAGGTGAGCGTATGTTTTAGGTTAGCTTACTTTAATTCTGGATGATGAAGGATGATAAGAAGTATGTGTTGACTTTTGATTGATATAGTGCAAGACATGTATTGGGAGATCACTCGACTGCGAAAGGACATCGTGCTGGCCAGACTGGGATTGGCATTTTGCAATTAAAGGATTCGTGCTCTCTGATTAGACGATAATCTACGCTTGGAAGCCTCGCAAGACCCTTTGTAAGAACTTTGAGAGGCCTCAAGCTTTCTCTCTTGTCTTTCACCGAGTCTTCCCATCCTGTGAACGAGCAACGGAAAGGAGACTCGATACAAGAGCTTCACCAGGAATCGCATGACCGAAGCGGGACAAGTACTCTCCTGACTAGTTATTGTTATGTAAATATTTTAAATATTTAGCGGAGACTCTGACAGGTCGGAATAATTAATGTCACAGGTGCTCCCTTTGGTGGACATCCCATGGAGAACCGTTCTTATACTCCGTTTTAATAAGCTAAGCATGGCAACTTGTGAATAAAATGTACATTCATAGCGGGAAGCACAGTAAGAATATTAACGTCAACATTGCTGCGCGATTTGGCTACGTAACAAAAAAAAATAAAACCAGTGTTGAATATTAGTAACCTAACAGTTACAGTGTTAAATACTCGCGAAATATAACGTTACAATCCGACCATCTTGAAGTACACACCACTGCCCACTGCCACATCCACGTGAATTTTACTCCGTTACTTATGTTTCAACTCCTCTTTTATAAATTATTTCCGTTTTTCATTCCGCCCAATGTACCACGGTTGGGTAAGTATAATACGTCATGTAATATACGTGGTTTCCTCCGCGTATGTTACAACGTATAATACATCCCTAGCTTTCCACGCGAGCGCAAAGTACATTACATCCTTTTCTTTTTACATAGAAAATAACAAATTCAATTAGAAATTTCATATTAAACATGGTTAAGTCGAAAGAATTTCAACGCAAACGGCAAATTAATTATTTCTTAACAATTTTTACGTGTTTATATGTGCGCTAAAAGACGTTAACCTCGCGAATACATATATCATGCATTCGTGGAATCCGGCATATTGAAAACGTTCTAAACAATTCTATTCTATTCAATTTTATTCTAAACAATTTTGAATACAAGCGTCAAATTAATAAATTGTTCCATAAAATATTTCCCTGTTTACATGTGTGCTAAACGACGTTTATAACTCAGCAGATGCCGTATACCGTCCATCTGTGGCATTCTTCATATTGGAAACGTAATTCATTGATGTTCTACGATTTTCTCCGGTAAACTACTTTGTAACGTAATATAGGTAAAAACCTCGAATAATAGGGAATTACCCAACCTTGCTGTGCATACAAGGTGCAGAGAAAAGTGGAAGATTGCGTACGGGAAGGTCGCACTATCGCGTTCTGTGCTGCCATCTGTGGAGAATGCAGGCGGCTAATGCATTTGCTCCCAACGGCGGAATAACTGAGGGATTCAATTCATCTCTGCTTCCAACTTATCTATCAGGGCTCGATCGTGGAACTTTACCGTATCGCAGTGCTTAGGAGAGTTTCTTGACAAAAAGGGAATTTCATGGTTATCAAGACCTTTCTTAGGGTCTTTATCCTCACGTAATAACATTTTAAACGATTTGGTAGACCTAGTTTTGAGAAAAATTTCGTAACCTACTAACCCTTCGGTTACCCCTTTCACGTAACCTTAATAGAAAATCCGTAAATTTAAGACGATACAATGGGAGTACCTTTTCCAGGTACCTGCGGTCAGGAGTCGGTCGGGAGAAGGGACGGCACGGTAATTCCGAACTCCCGATTTGCATAAAATTCTAATTCCCCACCTACCTACATTTTTGGACAAATCAATATTTATCCGGATAACAGGAACCAACCTCACCACCTGTTAAGCAGCCAACTCATCTCTACAATGTGTTCTTTATGTACATAGAGATTAACCTCTATGGCTTTGTTTCGGGAGAAAATGTCCGTGTCGCCATCTAGCAGTAGGTTAACGAACTTTAAAGCGATGTCGCTAACAAAGTTTCCTACTTATCCCAAGCAAGATGGCATCACTTTACAAAGCCGTGAATCAGACACCCACATTTCAACATATTTCATAATCCATAACGTTGTACACGTATGTACTTGCGTACACAGAATGTAGTATAATTGATAAATCGAGCAAATAGAAGGCGTAAACGACTACTGGAAGCCAGCGGTACGCATTGGTATGTATGTATGTACATGTCTAGCGACGATCGAGAATACTACTCGGAGGTCTGGGACCTTTAACGAGTCGCCTTATAAATGTTAGGTTAGGTCCGCCAAAGCGAGCGACGAGAAAGACGCGTTCCCATGGAATTGGACGAGGCGTAAGTGGGGAACATTTAGCGAACCGTTGACGACGTGTCAAGTTGAGCACCCGAAGACAAGCGAACTGATCGGAGTATGTCAGGAAAGGGTAAACAGGGTTTCAAGAAAACTCCCATCAAGGTGCGCGAGGGTGGGAAATCAGCGCAGAACAATCCGATGTCCTCGGACACGAGCTCCGAGGGCGCCGAGATGTCCGTGACCTTGCTAGTAATCAAAACGGCCGACAACGCGAAACACCTGCCCAGATACACAGGAGTGTTACAAAGAACCGTAGAAGAGGGCGTAGTCATGGATGACCTGGACACGCTGCAACTAGAACTGGAGATGTTGCTATCGTCAGTGGTGGTAAGAAACCGCACCCTTCAGGAGGAAATAACGAGTCTCTCTTCTGCAGAGGAACGGAGAGACAGGCGCTCCAAGAGTGGGAAGAGTCTCTCGCTGTTGGATAAGCGACCCCGAGAGGAAAGGGCCAAGCCTAAGGAAACTACGACCAAGATTCAGTCCCCACTTCCAGCCAGACTCTCCAAGCAAAGGACTGTGGGCACGCCGTCGAATCAGATCGTACCTAATCCACATAAGATCACCAGAGTAAACAGGTCCAAGACGGACGTCCCTAACGAGACGACGAACAAATTTTGGGCCTCCGTGGACCCCTATTGCACAGACATAGTCCCTGACGATATCAAACTGCTGGAGGAGCTTATTGCCACACACAGTGACCTCGGGGAGTTTAAGAAGATCCCCCCACTAGGTCGGCACTACAGCCTCCTCTGGGCTCACGACGATCTGTCCCAGGAGGAGGACGCTGCCAATCCCAACAGGGATAAGAAGAAGAACCGATCCGATGCCTCTCTCCTAGTATCTAAGGCAGACAGGAAAGGTAACGGCATCGTCGGTCCTCTTACCCAGAGACTGGTTTCGGCACTGCTGGAGGAGAATGTCTATGTAGGAAATAACAACACGGATGGCAAGTTGTTTAGGGATGGCGACCCTCCGGTCCTGCGAGACCTCACCGTCCAAAACTCCATGAACCTTGAGCTGAGGATGCACAAGGAACTCGTCGAGCAGGGCATCCTAGAGGCGGACGCACAAAAGAAAAGTCAGGAAGATGACGAGATCCTCCTGGAGATTAAACGTTGCCAACAAGAGCTATCGGCTCTGTCTAATCATAACGTTGCACAGCTTAAGAGGTTGCTAAACCTGGCACAAGAAGAGAGCAAACGTCAAGCCCTAAAACGTCGAATAGCTGTTGTTGATGAGGAAGCGGTCGAACACTACAAGAAGCTGTTGGTGTGCAAACAGCAGGAAGTTCCGTTAACCAGGAAGGAAGAAGAAAGGGCGTGGGCCTGCCTCAGGGATCGAGAGAGCCTCCTGGAGCGACTCAACATGTTACCTTCTAATACTATCGGTGAACCAGTTGGTGTCAACAGTGCAAAGACTTAATTTAAATCCATGATTCACTGACGATAACATGTCCGAATGGAATACACCGAATGTGTAGCCGAAAGATGGGTTACATCTTGTCCAAACACTTTGACAACTCCCCTACAACGCTTTGATTTCGCAAAGAACACCTTCGACTTGCAATTTTTGGGGAAGTACAACATTCTCGATGTACATACTTGACAGTATCTGTATCCATATTCGTGTTGGATTTTGACCCAGTTTGGGCCTAATACCAGATACTGGACATCGAAGTCTCTGCGGTGTTTAATTTATAAGTAGTGCATTTAACTCTAAGAATTAACTTCAAGGAACGGTGTAGGCCTTACTGTGACCTATGACCTACGAACAACTGTGTTAGTTTAAAGATTAAAAATTAAAAATGAAAGAAAATGTACTTGCTCCCTTTTCTTGCCCAGCTTAACGTCTTACACTCCATCTTTGAGGGGGTCGCTCTTAAATAGAACCATAAAATTGGATATTCTGTATGAATCCTCCCTTTTAACAGGAAAAAAGTGTAAATAACGGATTTTTGAGACTCGTTCCTAAGTTCATAGGACATTTCCCAAATCATCGAAAAATCACTAGATCAAATGAAAAACAATTCGACCAAAAACAAGTAAATATTCCCATAAAGTCTAAAATCCCAAAAAAAATTTAGCACGATTATACATCACGCGTTGTATAAAATCACGATATACAAGAATTCGACTCGTAAAACCCTAATAAAAAAAAAACACATTTAGGACGATTATACATCACGCGTTGTATAAGATCGCGATATACAAGAACTCGCCTCGTAAAATCATAATAAAAAACAAAATCCACGTTCAGCACAATTATACGTCACGAGTTGTATAAAATCGCGATACAAAAATTTGCCTGGTAAAACCCTAATAAGAAAATTTTTTTTTTTAAATAAGTTTAGCACGACCATCGTCATATCCAATTGCCTTCGTCCAACAATGCAATTACGAGGCAGTAGAAATTGTTAGCGATGGAGATAAGCTATGGCATGCTTGACCACAGTAAACGAGGAACTTCCGGATCTTGTACATACATACAGTACTACACAAGAGTCGCAATATCATTCCTGCTTATGAAAATTCGCGTTGTACAGTACTGCCCATCGTGGACAATTTTTCCGCATTACTTAACTTACTAGTGAATGAAAAGCCGTCAGGCGAAAAACCCGAGGGTACCGGTAACGTCCTCACGACAAAGGTGTTTTATTCGATTATCACTGTACAAGTTTCCTCGTCAATGAGTTACCTCAACAACGTGCATCCGCGACGGCACAACAATGATGAAACAGTTATTACGGGTAACAAAAGTGGCTCCAAAAAGAAGGACTTACGCGGGCACGGCTCTATAACTCGCGCGCAAGATTGGCGGGCCCGTGAGATAAGCGGCCGATGCTTTCGAAGAGAGTTACTAGACGGAGCGACATTGCGCTGCCGTCCCGATACGCGTGTATAAATACTAACGTGGACATACGCAGAAATAGGAGGAAGTGTAATGCAATGAGGTGAGCCGAGGACTCGAGAAGGGGGGCGACTTCGGGCGACGGTCCCGGGACAGCCGCCCGGAGGACTCGAGAGCGCCTTTTTTTCCTTGTTACTCTACGTCGTGTTCGAACGGTAGGCCATGAAATGGTTTCATGAGGATGTACAGTGCTCGAGGTGCGGCACGTGTCGGTCGCCGTCGAGACCCCGAAGAGGAGACCACGGCCTCAGGCCACGGAGCCAGGGTTACAAACCCGAAACGACTTCTCTCGTCTCCGAGCCCCGACTACGTCCTCGCGGACACGTTGTAACAAACCGCGGCGTCGAGGCGCATTCGACTGCCTGTCGGTTCCCCGAGAGGCAGTCGACCGGCTCTCACTTTTCCCCGTAAACGATTTCACATGCTTCCGTGCTCTCCAACCGAAGGCAGCTTCCGCCCTTGGCCACCTTCGGAGCTGGTGGACGCTGCCTTGGCAGTGACGAACTAAGACTATCGGTATATGTTCTTTAAGTAAGGTGGACGTCGTGGCTTAGAAGGCGAACAGAAGCAGGAAAGCCATCATCAGACAGAAGAGACCCATGGCCTCGGAAAGGGCGAACCCCAGAATGGCGTATGAGAACAGTTGCTGCTTCAACGACGGGTTCCTGGCATAGCCGATGATCAACGAACCGAACACCGACCCGATACCAGCACCTGAAAGATAACCAGTCCAGGTTAACGTCCCAAAGTTGAAACTCTTACACGAAGTTAAAGTTAAATGGACATGTATGGGATTTTTAAGCAACTTGTCCAAAGAAAAAATGTATCGAGTTGGCTTTACAGTCCTGCGACACTTCGTCTTCGTTTATCAAATTTTTGAGAAACTTCCAGAGAGAAGCTGCCAGATGGGTATCGATCGTAAACAGAAATGGAGAATATATCATTGACCGAAGTTGTAATTCTATGAAGTCCCGAAATTCTGGAATTGAAATGTTAGCATCGCAGGACTCTTCGGTCGCCCCGATATAACTCAAATGTTTGGGATTACTTGACTCGTGCCATCTACTGTCACAGAGGAACCAAGGGATCGAGATGGAAGGGAAGAGGTTAGAAGGCAAACAGCATGAGGAAAGCCATCATCAGGCAGAACAGCCCCATTGCCTCTGCCAGGGCGAAGCCCAGGATGGCATAAGCAAACACTTGCTGCTTCAGGGAAGGGTTTCGCGCATAACCAAGTATGAGCGCTCCGAAAATCACCCCGACACCAATGCCTGAAAACCAGAAAACTGCTTTCTTAAAAAAGAAAGGCAGAATCATATTTTCACCTTCAAATCCCTTTAAAAAGCACACCGGCGATCTACATCGGGTACCCACAATGAACCATAGATTCTTCGGATTACATAAGCGTTGCATAACTAGGAGTAAAATCCGCCTCAATGGCACCAACGCCTTAGAACTGCATTTCTTGAATGAAAAGCACGCACGAGCTCCTCTCAGGACAAGCAGCCACTTCGCTCCAGCAAACTCATACCTGATCCAGCGACTCCGACGGTGGCAGCACCAGCGCCGATGAATTTGGCAGCCGAATCGATGTCACGGCTAATCATGGATGTCTGAAAGCTCCGCACGATGGACAACTGCACGAGGAGCAGTAAAATGCATTAACCTCCATTCCTCTATCCATCTTTCCGCTCGAACTATCGACCCGAATCCACCCTATGAACTTATGTAACCCCGATAGCAAAGGTCGACGCATCGAAAGCACTCACCGAGGAGGTCGGCGTGCTCTGAGTCCGGTTCTGCTGGAAAGACTGGCTTTGTCCAATGACGGCGCTGCTGAGCGGCCGCAGGTAGGTTTTCGCCCCAGCTGTGAGCAGCTGAAGAACACAAAAGCTCGGTAAAACTTACATAACTCTCGAGCGGACGCTCTAGTCGCCCATTGGCCAAATATCAATCTAATAAGAAAAGGAGTTAAAGGAAATCAATAGTCATGGAAAGTTAAGCACCGATCCAGGGCATCGGCATCGTCGTTAAAAGTTCTAAAAGTGGAGATAACCACGTTGACCCCTGAACGGCTAGTCTCCAGGAAAATAGGGAAAATTAAATGGCAAAAAATCTGAAAATCAGCAAGGTTTAGTCGAATCAGGAAGAAAATCAGCACTCACGGTCGACCTGGCGATGGGAACGGCGAATCTGCTGCAGGCGTACATCGTTGGGGCGTTTGTTCGGTCGGGTCCTGTGTTCGATCGGATAACCTGCAACGGGGAGAGTCAGAGAGGGAAAGAGCAGTTACGAGGGTGCTCCGATCTCGAGGGGGGGTTACGTAACAATCCGGGCCGGCGCGGGAGGCGAGAAGTCCGCGGCCTCGTCACCTCGGGCAAGGTCGTGCACGGCGAGCTAACCTCTCGACGAGGGCCATCCGGGGGACGCGCCGCGTCGCGTCGGATACACCGCGAGGTCGCGGCAAGAGGTCAGCCGCGTGACGAGTTGCGGACAGTTCAGGTCCGTCCGAGTTTCGCGACCGGTCGCGAGGAGCCGCGAGGTAAAATGGCGCCGCGCGGCCGGCCACCCGCGCGGTCGAGTCGCACGGAAGGAGTCGGCCGACACCGACTTCGATGAGTGCCGACTCCCCAGGCCTTTGCCAAGCACCCTCCCTAGAGAACGGCCCTCCCTGCTGGTGTCCCTTACCACCGGTTCCTTCCGTAATAGATGACTTACCACTGCGAAGAGCGGAGTGTCGGAACTGGCCGGAAGGATCGGACTGAACGGAGAGAGAGAGGCGGCCCCGTCTGGAACCGGCACGCCGCGCGGCGGGCGCGGAGGTGAGCGGGCGGCGAGCGAAGAGCGTCAGGCTCAACCAATCGGAGCGCGCCTCGCCGCGGTTCCGTGCCACCCGCCGTTCACCGCGTACCGGGCCCCGGCGGCCTCGTTATCGACCGGCCGGAATCGCCCGAGTGGCGAGCCGAGCCGCCGCGATCGCGGCCGCCGAGTCGAGCCGAGTCGAGCCGAGTCCAGCCGAGCTCGACCGAGCGCGCCGCGCCGTCGCGACAGCCCCGGCGACCCGGATAGTCAACCGAGCGACCGTGGCTCGCGATCCGCGGCCGGCTGCGCGGCGCGGCCGCAGTCTCCCGTCTCGCTCTCGCCCGTGCCGCTCGTAGTTCCCTCCCTCTCGCTCCCGCGGCGATCGCGATCCGATCGAGCCGCGTGGGCGCGGGCGCGTTCGGTCGCTCGCTTGACTTCGGCACCGGTATATACATCTCTCTCTCTCTTTCTCTCTCTCCGAGGGTCTCCCGTCCCGTCCCAGCCCGGCGCCGCGCCTCGCCATGGCCGTGTTCATGCTGAACGTCTGCAAGTTCAACGGCTGCGGCCTCAGTTTCAGGGCCCTGGGCGAGCTGATCCGCCACATCGAGGAGACGCACATCGGTAAACGAGGGTATCGAGCGCGCCGGCGCTCCTGCGGTCCTAACCTCGCGCGACCGACGGAATGCGCCCTATCTCTATTTCTACGCGCTCGTATTTCCGGACCGGCTCGAATTTCTCCTACCCCGGCGCGTTCTCTCCTCTCCGTCTCTTCCGGCCGCGCCGGTCGTCGACCGGAAGGGGGAGAATTCACGGCCTATCCCGTTCTCTTTCCGCAGATTACGACCCGCGCGTCGTCGAGCAGTCCGAGCGCCAGCAGCCGGCCTGCATCCCCTTGAGTTACGCGCTGCGCTTCCTGACCGACGCGGCGAGGAAAGATGGCGCCGACTCGGCGTCGGTCCCGGGCTCGGCGGCTATTCACCGCACAAGGCCCGGCCGCGCGTGCCTACCCGGCGCCCTGGCCTCCCGCTCGATGAACGACACACCTACAGGTAGACTTTCCTTCGCGGAATTCGGCCAGACTCACGAGAATTCGCGCAACGCCCGCGCCGTTCGTCTCCGCGCTCGCTTCGAATTCGAATGAAAATGGCGCTCGCGGTCACGTGGTCGCCCTGCGAGCGCGAGCGCGCGCCGCCTTGCGGCAGCGCCGCGAATCTCGCTCCCCGCGGCGGGAGACTCAAACGCGCGATATCTCCCTTCTCGCGGGAAATCGTGTCATGGTTGTCCAGAAAGTTTTCGAGCGGTTTTTCCTCATTGAGATTCGACGATTTCTTCTTAATTCTCAAATAATTCTATCCTTTACGTTCATGTTACATAAGATCTACAAGCGCAGACTTTGCTGTACGTTTTGATAGTACTTGTGCTTTCAATGTTACTTTTCTGTCTTATCTAGAGTGATTAATGAAATTAAGCCAGTATCTACTTACAATAGTTGGCGAAAGTATTTTCCATATTTTCCCATTTGATTCTGTAATATTCCATTTCTACGGTATTCTAAATTGTTCGTACTAGGTCCTGAAACTTTATTTTCGGTTCTAAGCCCCCAAGAAGCGTGAAACATGGAAAACGTGCCCAGACCACGCCATGTTGGTTCTAGTCCATGATAAGTAAACAAATTTGTGATGAAAAATAAAATTCCGTGAGTTTGAGGATCTACTTTAGGACCTCCATATTCCCGTGGTGAAATTTCATACGAATCGGTACCCCTAATTCGGAGAATACTTTCCCCAACGATTTGACTTCCCAGATACATATAGGCAGACTCTTTCACATCACCTTAACCCTTTGGCTACTAACAAGGAAGGTATCTCAGGTCGATCTTTCCGATTTGATTTCTTTTATAATATGTTATAGGAGACTAAAAATTAAGCGACACGTATCTTTTTTTACCTGCCATTAAACACTTTAAGGAGGTGAAACCACCATCTAAAGTAAGCCCTGTGAGGGGTGGCTTACCCCTTAATTCCTTTTTTTTTAATTCAAAAAATTATATTTTTCATTTCTCGTTATGAGAAAGCTTTTCCAGATGAATGGGTTAAAAAATTATGTTCTTGTGGGTGAAATTGCCGAATCGCCCCTTGACATGCCTTAGTTTGGATGGTGGTTTCACCCCCTTAAAGTGTTTAATGGTAGATAAAAAAAATACGTGTCGCTTAGTTTTTAGTCTACTATGACATATTATAAAAGAAATGAAATCGGAGAGATCGACCTGGGATACCTTCCTTGTAAGAGCGCCTAAAGGCGCCCGGCGTTTGGTCCAATATTGCCTGCACGGTCAGACGAATTACGCCCATATGTCGAAATGGCTCCGTATTCAAAGGGTTAAAGAACTGATATCAAACAGCAATCGCCCCCACTCTGTATAATTATTCGGCAGCATCGTGGCTTTAGAAAAACATCGGCAACCTCGTGACAGCCTTAACCCTTTGGCTACTAAGAACGCCCAAAGGCGCCCGACGTTTGGTCCAATATTGCCTGCACGGTCAGACGAATTTCGCCCATATGTCGAAATGGCTCCGTATTCAAAGGGTTAAAGAACTGATATCAAACAGCAATCGCCCCCACTCTGTATAATTATTCGGCAGCATCGTGGCGTTAGTTATAAACATCGGCAACCTCGTGACAGCCTTAACCCTTTGGCTACTAAGAACGCCCAAAGGCGCCCGACGTTTGGTCCAATATTGCCTGCACGGTCAGACGAATTTCGCCCATATGTCGAAATGACTCCGTGTTCAAAGGGTTAAAGGACATCATGTATCTGGAATTATTCTCGCGTTTATCCGAAATGGAAAGATGCCTAACCTTAGACGGTGAAGACCGGAAATCTTTCTGGACAACCCGATAAGATCCACGTAAAGCTCACTGCACGATAAAACGTAGGCAGCGAGGCCGAAGACGGCGACTGGGACGGGGACGGGGGCGGCGAAGAGCTCGGGAGCGAGCCGGAAGACAGTAACGACTCCTGGACCACTTCCGAGGACCTCTCCGCCGACCTGGTCCTTCGCTACGCCAGCAGGTACTTTACCGCTTAACTAGAAGATGTCGTGGGCCATTAAGGTTGAGCGAAACACGTCGAGGAACTTGATCGACGTCGATAAAGAAGATTTTTCTAAATACCTACGTTCCCGACGTTCGTTTCTATATTGACAGCTGGGTCGAATTATATCGGGTATTGTACCAAATAGCATACTCCACCTGTCGTTTTCGTACAATAATTATAAAGAAATCGAAGTGAAACTCCACAAATCCTCTGGATTCATGCTTTCTGGGGCCCTAATTGACTGCAGAGGGACCCCCTGCGCCATCTGTGATTTCCAAGTCAATTAAATTTTCACTCCGAGACCTCGTATTCCCATTGTTTTGCCATAGAAGCGCATACAACACTTGTTTGCCTTTATCCCGTTCAAATTCGAGTTTATCGATTACCAGAATGTTCTAAATTCACGTAAAATTGTCCTGACCCTTTCGTTCCTCATATCAGAGCCTTCAATAATTGTGTATCGTTCGAAATATGAGAGCTCGACGCCATTTTGGTTCTGGTCTGGGCAAAGTTAAAATGTTTTTCCCCAAAATCAAAATCTTGAATGTTGTCAGGACAATTCTTAGATGATCAGGAGTGATGTGTCAAAGTTTCGGACAGTTTGGTCCAATATCCTTAAAAAATGTGTTGTATTAGAATCGACTGATTTGAGGGGGGTTTCACTTCACCTTAAGCCGTTATTTGTGCAATGTGAAAAGAGAACCAACATTTTGTATGTGTCAGGACGATTCTTAGATCACGAGTCGTGTGTCAAAGTTTCGGACAGTTTGGTCCAATACCCTTAAAAAAAGTGTTGTATTAGAATCGACTGATTTGAGGGGGGTTTTACATCACCTTAACGTAGAGCTCTTATACTGTACATATAAGTATCTAAATTTCGAAGAGGAATCCTCCTGCCTGTCTAGTTATTAATCCCACGTCTCGCATTTCCAGGTCCGTCAATCGCAGCGTCCTAAACCCGAGAGGAACGGACAAGCCATTCGCCTGTCCGATACCGGGATGCAAGAAACGATACAAGAACGTAAACGGAATCAAATACCACTCGAAGAACGGACACAAAAACGACGCTAAGTGCGTGTACAACCCATGGATCTAGGATAGATATATGCTTGTAATCACGAGAGTGGTCTGACAAGGAAGGAATCCCAGGTCGATCTCTCCGATTTCATTTCTTTTATAATATGTTATAGTAGACTAAAAACTAAGCGACACGTATTTTTTTTTTTTCATCTGCTATAAAACACTTTAAGGGGGTGAAACCACCATCCAAAGTAAGGCATGTCAAGGGGCGATTTGGCAGTTTCACCCACAACATAATATTTTTTAACCAATCCACCTCAGCTTTCTCATAACGAGAAATGAAAAATATCATTTTCTCAATTAAAAGAAAAAAAAAAAAGAATTAAGGGGTGAGCGTTCGGGGGTAGTTGCCCCGGACAATATTTTTTTATCGGGAAAATCCAAAGACACGTCGGATATTCTTCGTGTTCATACACAACATATATTTTTTCAGCTTTTAGATTTGAATTTGATCATTATTTGCATTAACGTAATCATATTTAGGGGTGGCTCACCCCTTAATTCTATTTTTTTTTAATTGAAAAAGTTATATTATTAATTTCTCGTTATGAGAAAGCTTTTCCAGGTGGATTGGTTAAAAAGTATTATGTTCTTGTGGGTGAAACTGCCAAATCGCTCCTTGACATGCCTTACTTTGGATGGTGGTTTCACCCCCTTAGTGTATAATGGCAGATAAAAAAGAATACGTGTCGCTTAGTTTTTAGTCTACTATAAAATACTATAAAAGAAACAATTCTTATATGATCAGGAGTGATGTGTCAAAGTTTCGGACAGTTTGGTCTAATACCCTTAAAAAAAGGTGTTGTATTCGAATCGACTGATTTGAAGGGGGTTTCACTTCACCTTAACAGTGCTCTAGAACACGTCTTTTACCGCTAAAACAGATATTAGTAAGAGCTTTAGTACCTAGATCAGTGAAAATTCGTTAGAAGACCTGACTCGGTTTGCTTTCAGGGCCCGCCAGTGGCAGTGGCAGCGTCAATGGCAGCGGCAGAGGCAGCGCCAGGGTGCCTTCGAGTGCCGCTGCGGTAAGAGGTACAAGACCTCCTACGGACTGAAGAACCACGCGAGCATCCGGCACGGGGGTTCGAGTCAGGCCCTGGTCCCGGACCGGGGGTCCCTCGGGACCCCCGAGTCCAGGTCGGGGAACAGGACAGAGGCGAAGGTCCCGGCGATCGAGGACCACGGGTACATAAAGCGAGAAAACGAGCCGGGGATCCTGTCCCTGTCCTCGGTGCCCTGAAGACCGGCCTACCTGGCGAAGATCCCTAGTCGACTCCCGTAGGACCCGGGAACCTCGAAACCCGCGACGAGGAAGAGAAAGGGGAACGGCTCGAAGAGGCCGCTCTCGTCGCGGCATTCTATCTCTCTAAATAAAGGAGAGTGACCGCAGGTCGAGCAGGACCAGGCCCATTGCGAATGGGGCCCAAGATGCGGAATAGTTCCTCGAACACTCGCAAGAGGCGCTGCGTATAGTTCGGAGCCGAGAGGTCTCCGTTGAGATTCGTTGATAAGTGTTGTTAAGCGCTCCTCGACTCCACCCGGACGCGAGTTTTCCGCTCCCTCCCGTCGAGGGGACCTCCTAGAGTCGTCCTCGAGGTTAACGCGTCTTGTCGATTAACGTCGGTAGCGATTAACGATTAACGAAGGTAGCGCTTAACGCGAGTATGGCGGGAAAACTCGCGACCGAGGTGAGCGCCGAGTTTGTTATTGAGAGGAGACGAGTTTTGTTACCGATTGAAATAAATATGAGAAACTAAGGAGGCTAGGCTCGTCCCCGGTCGGTTTCCGTTTCCTCGGGGTCCTTAACCCTTTGCACGCCCAATTATTCAGATGTCGAGTCACCCTCGACAAAGGGGGCCCTTTAAAATTCGATTTGATTACGCAGATTACAAATCGCTACGATTTGTCGTTACGCGCGTAACCCCCTTTAGAATTCGATTTGATTGCACAGATTACAAATCGCTGCGATTTGTCGTTACGCGTGTGACCCCGTTTAGAATTCGATTTGATTGCACAGATTACAAGTCACTACGATTTATCGTTACGCGTATAACGCCCTTTAGAATTCGATTTGATTGCACAGATAACAAGTCACTACGATTTATCGTTATGCACGTAACGCCCTTTAGAATTCGATTTGATTGCACAGATTACAAGTCACTACGATTTATCGTTACGCGTATAACGCCCTTTAGAATTCGATTTGATTGCACAGATAACAAGTCACTACGATTTATCGTTACGCGCGTAACGCCCTTTAAATTTCGTTTTCATTACGCAGATTACAAATCGCTGCGATTTGTCGTTACGCGTATAACGCCCTTTAATATTCGATTTGTTTGCACAGATTACAAATCGCTGCGATTTGTCGTTACGCGTATGACCCCCTTTAGAATTCGATTTGATTGCAAAGATTACAAATCGCTGCGATTTATCGTTGCGTGACAGGAAGAGAAAGAGAGCCTTATAACCTTTATTATGTTCGCTCTTTCCTTTCGATTCTCTCGCAAGGATATCAAAGGAATTGTTAAATCTGCAAGCTCCATTTATCTAAATCCTTCAAGGGAACTTATACAACTTATACAGCAATTCTTTTGATTTCTTCGCAAAAAAAAATCGAAGGAATCGTTAGATTTGCAAGTTCCATTTGCCTAAATCCTTTTAGTGGAATTTGTACAACTTATACAGCTATTCGCTCTCTGTTCTTTTGATTTCTTCGTAAAAATATCAAAGGACTCGTTAGATCTGCAAGTTCCATTTATCTAAATCCTTCAAGGGAACTTATACAACGTATACAGCAATTCTTTTGATTTCTTCGCAAAAAAATCAAATGAATCGTTAGATCTGCAAGTTCCATTTGCCTAAATCCTTTTAGTGGAATTTGTACAACTTATACAGCTATTCGCTCTCTGTTCGATTTCTTCGCAAAAATATCAAAGGACTCATTAGATCAGCAAGTTCCATTTATCTAAACTCTTCGGGGGAATTTATACAACTTACACAGCAATTCGTTTAATTTCTTCGCAAAAATATCAAAGGAATCGTTAGATCTGCAAGTTCCATATATATTCATTCCTACAGCGATTAGCGGAGCTTGTACAACGATTAAAACCATCAATTGCTCGTACATTGTCCCTCCTCCATTCTTGAGCCCCGAAAAGAAATAGAAACCGTCCCTCGGACAACAAACGCGGTTTCCTCGCAAAATCGGGCGATACGAATCCCGCGCTATCGGGCGATAATACACCAGTCTGACAAATAATCACGGAACTGGGCCAGAGGTCAGGGAACGTCGACGTTCCGTCCGCCATTATCTCCTCGTGAGTCCTCTTCCTCTTGGCCCGGACAATGTCTCCGTTTCGGATCTCCCCTTCTACGCAGGTACACTGGGAGACATCAATGCCCTCCCAACCTGCACAGGCGATGCCGTATCAGCAGGGGAGGCATTCATGTCCGCCACAGTGCGCAAAGATGCATACATAACAAAATTTCTTCGACAAGGCCAAGAGAGTCCCTTACATCGCATCCTACTCTAAACAACATATACAATAATTCAATAAATTTCCAGGGTTATAAAAAGAAATATAAAGGGCCACGGCGGGGGGCGGGGGTGGAGGGAACAAGAGGCGGAAAGAAAGCGAGACCCTACAGTAAGAAAGCCCGGAAGAAGCAAGCCAAAGAGAACAAACACGTGTGCTCAATCAAACAGCGTCTCCTTTAATGAGTAATAATGCTCGTTATATTCTCGTGAGATTGGACATAAACACACAGTACTACTTATAGTTCATTGCATTATTTACGAATCAATCGGCTAGTATACTTAAGAATTAGACTAATCGTAAACCTAAGAATTGTGATCACCCATCAACGTCAGTCATCGTCAAGAAAAAAAAAACAAAAAAAAAACAAAAAAACTCCCCACCCCTCGACTCGACGCGCACCATCATCGGTCCTCCATCTCACGCCGTTCTCTCTATCTCTCTCTCCCTTCCTCCCTCTCCAGGATTCTCTTCGAGAGGTCCCGGGGGATCCTCGGGATCCGGGACACGCGAGGGAAGAAAAAGGGGGGTCGGACATGTATTTACACGCACACAAATATATATATATATATATGTGTATCTATATGTATATATTTCTTTCTCTCCGTTCCTCGCGCGTTCTGAAGCTCTCTCTCTCTCTCCCCTTCGTCGCCGAGTAACGCGCGCGTCACTGTCGCGTGTGAGTCTCTCTCTTTCTCTCTCTGTTTTCAGTGTCCCCCCTCTCGCTCTCTCTCTCTCGGGATTCAAATGGTCTCTCTCGCCCCCCCTCTCGCGTCGATCCGTCTCTATCGCGGTTTCCTCCTCTCGGCCCCTCTCGAAAAAGGAGATATATTTCGGACCGACCGACTGACCGACTGCACCAGGAATTCCGCTTCGTCCGCTTAAATAGATGCGCGCGCGCTGCCTATCTCGTCCCCCTCTCTCCCCTCTTTTCTCTCTCCACGAATCCACCGGCTCGTATCTTTCCTTCTTCCCTCCTTTAAGTAAATTAATAAACGTAATATAGAATAATCATAATAGTAAACCGTAATAATCATAAAGATAATAATAGGTAATAGTAGTAGTAAGCTGGCAGCAATTAGTAACCAGATAATTTGTTTCTCTCTCGCTCGCTCGCTCGCTCTCGTTCTCGCTTTCGCTCGGTCTCATTCTCTCGTGGTTTATCGCGCACTCGCTCGCTCTCGTTCTCTCCCACTCTCGCTCTCTCTCTTTCTCTCTCTCTCCCGCGCGCGCTAAGATGACAATCTAAAATGGCACTGGCACCCAGGCTTCTGATCATTCGTACCGCGTGTCGCCCCCCCTTCGCCTTCTCCGTCTGGTCCGCGCGGTCGCGGATACGTCCATCCTCCTCCCACCCCTCTCGCGGCCGCACTCGCTCTCTCGCTCGATCTCTCGCTTTCACTCGCTCGTGCGCTACGCGTCCCCCCTCCCGCCCCGCCCCGCCCTGCCCCGCGATGTGCAATCAGCTGCCAGATAATTTTATCTCGTTTTCTCCGTGTCTGTGTCTGTGTGTTTGTGTGTGTGTGTTTTTTTTATATTTTGTCTTGTTTATATAGTTATATAACCATTTTTCCCAACGACTACACACTAAATAGTTCAAATCTTTTGCACTTTTTCACCAACAACAACCGGATTGTTGCGCCGAATCTCCTGGGCGCCCATTTCCCTGTAGTCGAACTTGCAATCGTGTTTGTCACTGTACCGGTGCACGGAGCAGAAGAGTCCTCCGCAGCGACACTCGAATCCTGGAAAGTAAAAGCGTTGAGAGAGGCGTTTCGGATTCCTGGCTGCCAGAGGGTGAGGTTTAAGTGTTAAGCCAGGGTAAGGTCCTGTCGATGGCTAGCGTAAGGTCGAGGGACCTCTTGACAGCCTCCGATAGGACCCTCCCTTTCGCCCCCCTACTCACCAGTCAAGCCGACTTTCTTGCGACAAACGGCACAGCGATTTTTATTCTTTTTGGACTCCTTGTCGCTCTCCTTTCCGTCGAAGCAGTCGTCTGCATCCCCACTGCTGACCGAGCCCTCCGCCGTCCCACCGCTGACTCCCACTTCGCCTTCCTGCTCGTCCCTGTTTATCTGGGAAGATCAAAATTAACCATCGAATTATACAGGATTCCTCCCTATCGTTGTGGAAGTTAACGAGCAACCGAGTGATCCGAACATTGACAACTCGGTCCCTGTAAACCTCCGATGTGAGCACGTATATAATATGTCTCAAGTCCACTCGAGAGAGAGCTGTCAAAATCTTAAGGAGGTTCCAGTCCGTCGAGTTCCACGGAATAAACGTATTTCCTCGTTAATCGCGTTCTTATTTTCGGCCTCCGCCGGAATAAATTCAAATAAATCCAATCCCACGCGTGTTGAGGTTAGGATCGAACGCGCGCAAGCCGGATCCGTGGACCTCGACCATACCCCCGGAGAGGATGTCGCGCCATTTCCTCGAGGAGGTTATAACCACTATACACCGGGATGGGAAGAAAGAGGGTTACTGGTCTCTCTATCGGGTCACCATTCGGGGACTCGCCCATAATCCACAGGAATTTCACGATGCCAAAAGTCGCGGGTCTTTTTCTCGGCCACGGTAGCCATGACAACCGTGACGCCACTCGCTGTCCCTTTCATTCTCTCGGCTCTCGCGTTTCCGTATTACAAATGGCACCGCAAAATCGGCGAATCATCGTCGTGTCTTTGTCAGATACCTCGCGATAGAGAAAGACACGGCGATGATTCACGGCATATCTGCAATGCGCGTTATATATATATTGAAACTGGCCTCGAGCGTAGAATAAAAAAGGCAGCTCGAAAGCATCACCAGACCAGAAACAAGGAATAATTTCTATAATAAACCCCTCGCACCCTCAACGGCAATTTATCTGTCACTCTTTGTTCCTAATGCAGATCGAGAACTCGTCAGGATTTCAATATAAATTTCTGTGAATATTTTTTCCAAAAGTTACTGACCAGACGAACTTCTAACTATATTGCGCAGGGAGTATTTACATTATCGATCCAAAGAGATAATCCGGTTCACAGTGAACACCACCTGGAAGGTTACTTTTTGGTTATGATACCAAGGTTAAGGCACCACCGAGATACATTTGAGTAGTAGAGATATTAAAGGCAATTAATCTAAAAATATCGAGACTTGTAAACAAGTAGCTCGTTTCCATAATGGAGTTCTCCGTTTGGTCGTTCTAGCTTTGGGCCTTGTCTTCGTGCCAAGGAGAAGCTTAAGGCCAACTCGACGTGACAAAGGAGACAATGGTCCCATATCTTTAAGTCTGTACACACACCTCGCTTATAACGTTAAATGATGTCTTTCGTTTGTAGTCTTTAAATGAGTAAAATAGTTATTTTAACACTAAGAGTGAAATATGAGTACCTTAGAGACGATCTTATCGCTATTTACCGGAGAACTAACCTCTTTGGGGTTGGGTAAATCCGTTGTGGGCTGTGGGATGGTAGGAATGGTAGGCTGGGCCGTGGTGCCCGTAGAGGCAGGGTTTCCAAAACCGCTCTGCAACGTTCCGGCGTTACCGGAGGCGGTTTGCGAGGTGGGCACCGGGGCGGTGGAGACCGGTGGCTGCTGCTTCTTCTTCAAGTTTTCCTTGTAGCAGAGCGAGCAGAGGCCGTCTGTGGCCGGCGAACCATAGAATCCGCACCCACTGCGGCACAGGGCTTGCATGGGATTCGACTCACGCTCCATCTCTCTCGTTGTCCAGTACACTCGACGAATGCTCCAAAACGAGGAGTAACGGGCTGGATCCAACACGGTCCGATCCGCGATTACCGCCTCCAAGGATGGCTGTGAGTCGCAGCGGTGCCGAGTAGACGAAGCAGGGTCTCCGTCGTGGCGGCCCTCTCTCCGGACGATCCTCCGCGACCGGGTGTCACCACGAAATCACCTGAAACCACGAGATAACCTCAAATTCCTGGAATCCAGTCAATCTATCGAATATTCCTCCAACGTCAGATCTTATTTACCCCGACCCCCTCGATACATATACCACAACCTTACAAAAGGTATCCTCTATCAAACATTCGGTCTAAACCATTTTACGTCATCTCTATAAACCATCGTCTACGCCGAGTTTAATACAAGCCACCTTAAGTACGCTTATGGTACGCATACCGAACGATCGGCGTAACCTAATCCCAGACCACAAGTATATTCGCATATAACTAAAGGACCCCACAAAGTCACACTCCCCGAAACATTCTACGATCCCTCGATCGTCGAGAGCCTCGAAGTACGTAAGCTCTCCGAAGCAGAGCTTCGCCAGGGATTTTGCAGTCCCCGAAACGCCACGAGCATCTCGTGGTGACAGGCGAAGACTCAAACGGCGGAGACGCAGATTAGATTCCTTGTCTCAGAGGGAGGATTAAAAAAGAAAGGAAAAAAAACGGAGTTCGAGCGACCTCGAGGCCGTCGAATGGGTTCCGGAAATTGGAGCTTCGACGCGGTAGGGCCGAGTCCGGACGCGAGGATCAGGAGGACTCACTTTCCAGGCCAGGTCGACGGTCGCTTCGTCAGAATCGACGCGCACCATGGAGCTCGGGTGTCTCCGAGGCATTTAACTGAGCACGCCGTGGTTTTCCTGATTCCTGGGCGGCCGATGCTCGGCAACCCTCGAGGGGCTCCTCTCTCTCTCTGGGGCGAGCGCGAGTCGATAGCCTCGGGACGAGGTGTCCGCGTAGGTCCGCGTTGGCACGAAGCTGCGGCTTCTTCGAGTGGGCTCCGGGTCTCGGCGTCCGGTCTCGGCGTGCCTGGGGCCTCGGGGTACTTCGGGCTTTCCACGGGTCCTCCACGACGTATATCCTCAAGCTCGGTGGTGCACTCTCGTCCGAGGGAACCTGCGACGGACGGACGGACGGACGAGGAGCGATAACGACGACGGGCAAATGTTTTCACGACGGCGATTGGCTGGGCCCGAGAGCGCCGGAGAGAGAGGCCCGAGCGCGGAGGTTCGAGTGCGAGGGAGAGACGGCGCGAGAGGGACAGGCGGCCGACGGCTGCGGCCTCGACGGACGCGGGGGAACGCGCGAACCGGACCGAGCGAGGGCAGCGCCGCGCCGCGGCGGAACCGGGAACCCGCCCGTCGGAGAGACCTCTACTCCTCGAGGCTCCGACGGGCCTACGCGACGGGGCCGCTCGACCTCGGGCTGTCCCGCGAGGTTAGGTCCGTGGTCGCGCGACCCGCGAGTCCCGACCCCGGGTGACCGCCTCCACGAGGAGCGCCGCCATTCCGCGCCAAAGTCCAAGGCGAAGTGCGCGAGTCGGGCGTCCCGCACCGGTGTGCCGCGCCAACGACGGAGCCAACTTCGCAGTTCGCGGCCGAGCCGCCGCGCGGCGCCTCGGGCGTACTCGGCCCCGCTCGGGCATCCTCGGCCGCGCTCGGCCGTTTACGACGCGCCACGAGGACCCGCGGCGCGCTCGACCGCTCTCGCGCACTCGTCGCTCGGCAGGGCGAGGGGAGGGACGCTCGACGAGCAATTGGCTCCGCGCGCTCTTTCTCTCTTTCTCCCTCGCTCCCTGTCCCGCCGGGTACCGAGAGCCATTTCTGTATTTGGTCGCTTCAATGTCATCGGTTTGACATTGGTCTCTCGCGATGTATCGGCCCGCGCGCTCGATATACACCGGGATACATTGGATTTCCTGGATGCTCGAAGCGACCGAAAACTCCGATTCGACCTCAAAGATAGATACCTCTCTATACAGGCGTGCGCACGTAGACGGAGGGAGAGAGCGTGATTTTATGGACGTAGAATGAGCGAAGGAGGGAGAGCGTTCCCAATTAGACCTTTTCGGGTGCGACGGGAGTGGGGGCGATTTATTCGTCTCCACGGCATCCCTACCGTAGTGGGGGAGGGAGAGAGGAAAAGGAAACCCGGGAGAAGCGCGCCTGCACGGCGAATCTTCTCTACGCTTCTAGAAGATCAGATACCGCACGCGGGTGCGGGTCTTTGTTCCAATTCCGTATTCCGTGCCGTCATCGTCGCCGTCATCGCGCGAGCGGTGCCATTATACGCGGGGCGAGTCCGCGGAAGAAAGGAGAGATATCGCGAAGGAAGGAGAGAGCCCGGGAAATTCAAACCCGAGATCCTCCGACTCCCGATGTAAAACAGATTTTACAATAAATACCGTTAACGCGATTAAAGGTGGATAATGACGGTCTGCGCCACCTGTCCGCGCCTGCGCCAGGCTCGCCCCCCTTTGAAACCCTTGAGTTTGGACTTAACCTCTCTTTCCCACCTCCGCTCTTCGCCCTGTATACGTGTCGATACACGGTGGACCGTGGAAAAAGGAAAAGAAATAGCAGAACGTGCCATGGTATGTGGACAGGCATAAACTATGTAAACTATGAAAACTATGTAAACTATGTAAACCATATAAACTATATATACTACATAAACGTACCCTGACACGAGAAAGAACTCAAGAATTCGAATAGACCGTAGAAAAATGAAAGGAAATAGCAAAATGTGCTACGGTGTCTGGACAAGCATAAACTATGTAAACTATGTAAACTATATATNTATACTATATATACTATATAAACGTACTCAGACACGAGAAAGAATTCAAGAATTCGAGTTTACGGAAACAACGCGAGGCGCCCTTGTGGACTTTGTATTCGTTTCGCTTGGGCGCCACGCCGGTCACGTGGTCCCACGACACGTGACCGCCAGACCACGAACGCGGCGCTTCTCGAGATGGGGGACCACCTGCGATGCCTAGGTCCCGAGAATCCTGGCTCTCCGATTGGTCGACAGGGATCGGAGGCCGACCAATCGCGTTCCCCCGCTCGTCGCACAATAGACGGCGCGGTGCAGTGTTGCCAATTTAGCCTATTGTCTGCTAGATCTCTTCAAACTGGGAATCATCACCGAATCATATAAAACTTCATTGCAAGATTATGGATGCCCCAAGGAATACTCGTGAAATATCATTTTTCGACAAAAATTTTGCTTTTATCTCGGACAAGAACCAAAGAAAGATATATACATTTTTTTTTTTCGAAAATTGAAATTTCACGGGCAGCGCGTTCCTCCTTAGAGCTGCCATAGTCACGTGTCAAAGTTTTAGATAATTTGGTGCACCCAGTGTGGAGAAAAGTTTTATGAATATTTTCACTTTTTGGTATGTATATATCACACTTTCGTATCACCTTAAAAAGTCATCTAGCGAGTTCTCTACTTAATGCGTTGGCGACACTGATCACGAGGTTGGGACTCACGGAAGCGTCGATTACGTTGCGGAAGTGTCAACGCAGATATAACGCGATGCGTTCTTAAGACGAACCCCCAAAAAAGCCTTGAAAAGAAAAGAAATTTCGTTGCGAATGTCGAGACTCTCATGCGTCGACCGGAGCTGCGTCGAAGCGCAGGTAGAAAGAGAGAGAAAGAGAAAGAGAGGCTCTCTCCCCACTCTCACTCTCGCTCTCTATCCCATGGACGTAGGATCAAGGAGGTATTTACTTAGGAAATCACGGATTTTAAAGTTAAGTGAAACACGTCGAGAAACTTGATCGACGTCAATGAAGAAGATTTTTCTAAATACCTACGTTGCCGATGTTCGCTTTTATATTGACAGCTGGGTCGAATTATATTGGGTATTGTACCAAATGGCATACTCCACCTGTCATTTTCGTACAATAATTATAAAGAAATGGAAGTAAAACTCCAGAAATCCCCATGGTTTCTGAGGCCTTAATTGACTGCGGAGGGACCCCCTGCGCCATCTGTGATTTCCAGGTTAATTAAATTTTCACTCCGAGACCTCGTATTACCATCGTTGTAGCATAGAACCGCATACAACACTTTTTTTGCCTTTATCCCGTTCAAATGCGAGTTTATCGATTACCAGAGTGTTCTAAATTCTCGTAAAATTGTCCTGACCCTTTCGATTCTCGTATCGGAGCCTTCGATAATTGTATATTGATCGAAATATGAGAGCTCGACGCCATTTTGGTTCTGGTCTGGGCTGAGTTAACAAATTTTTTCACAAAAATCCAAATTTTGAATGTGTCAGGACAATTCTTAGATGGGTCAAAGTTTCGGACAGTTTGGTCTAATACCCTTAAAAAAAAGTGTTGTATTCGAATCGACTGATTTGAAAGGGGGTTTCACTTCACCTTAAACCCATTGGGCTAGGTTTTCTGTAAAAAAAAACGGGTTTACGCCCACCCTGCCGGAAACTCCACCTCTGTTCGCTCTTCTTCCTATTCGTAAGAGTATCAAGGAAACGGTTGGATCGAGAGCTCTATGTATATCCTACACCCATGCTCTATCTATGAGAAAGCGTGAACAGAGACAGAGAAGGACGGCGAGGGTCGCGGGCGTCTTTGTCCAAGTCGCGCCGGCGGCTCGCGGAAGACGAAGCCGAGGACGAGGACGGCAAGTTTGGCCTCGCGCCGCCCTGCGTCGCGGGCGCGCATGCGCCCAGCGAGTCGAGTGTCAAAATGAGAATAACACCGCCATAGATTAACTCCCGCCGAGTGTCAAAGCCAAAGAGTATTAGATAGAGCGGAAGGTAAGTATATATTGACATCAGCGCCATCCCGTGGTTTGGAATATGTACTAATCTCAAATTGGACATGCGCAGTGGCATCCGTTGAGGAAGCGTCAGTTTCGACATTATTTGAACGTCAACAAAGAGCGTGAGCCGATCTAAGGACGTATAGGATTGAAAACGATACAGATTCAATCATGGTGATAACGTGTAACCGCACATGCAAGAAGAAGTCGAAGAATCATAAGAGACTCTCCTTTTTCTGGGCGCCAAAGGAGCCAACAACGTAAGCAAGAAGAAAATGTATAGTGTACGAAATAACAGACATTTCATTGCACCTTGCACGTTATCTATCCGTGATTCGTGTACTATTCGATACTCGCAATTTAAAAT